CCGGCGGAACGCAGTCGTCTCTCTCCCCAGCTTTCTCACTCCCACTATTCTCCGCTGCTTTTGCCGGTGGCTTGACCTGGATCCGACCACTGGTGGCATCAACCGCCCTGGTTGACGGCGACTTCGATCGTCGGCCAGATGACTCGCCGTTGTTGCGGCGGGCTCTACCGGCACCCATATTAGGCTTCCCCGTCGCCACCTGACCGAATTCCCTCCCGCGAATTGACCTCGTATTAACCTGACTCCTCTTCTTCTCTGGTGAAGGCTCGGATCTTCTCGCCGGAGATTTGGGCCTCCTTTCTCTTCCGTCGGAGCTGTCGATGCTGCACGAACGCTTTCTTGGTACATTACTTGACGGAGGTTGATTCAGCCTCTTACTAGTCGCTTCGTCCTCCCTCTTTCCTGCAATCGGAGTAGTAGTAGCAGTTGTGGTGCTGGTGGTGATGGTTGAAAAGCTCTCGTTGACACTGCATATTTCTGATACTTGAGACACCTCAGAGACCTCGTCAACTTTTTGAAATTTTACGACCTGGGGCTCAATCACAGCCACCTGGGTGCTTCTTTCTTCGGCCAAAGTGGAAACTTGAGGCTTGGAAATGGACGTTTCTGAGAGAACCTCCTTCACAGTTTCCTCTAACAGAGGTGGTGGCGATGCTGGGGGAGCTCGATTGTCAATTTCATGAGTGGCATTTGATTTATGTTCAGGAGATTTCGGACAAGATTGCTGGATATCGGAAACATCTAGGTGATCTGGGTGATCTTTATTTGGGCATTTAGCAGTGCTGAAGCAGCAACCCATTTGGATGGAATATGAAGCAATCTTTCGAGAAGATCTCAGAATGAGGGGAGTGATTAGAAGAAGAAGAGTGTTTGAAATTGCATGGCTGCGGTTTGAAGATTTTGAATAACCGAAACGGCTGTTGTTGAGGTGTACGTTTGTTTTGGTTTTGGAAGTCCGTAAAAGTTGTAAGGAAGAAAGTCTGTTTGAGGCACAGTGAACCGAACAGGGAACGCACGCATGAAATTTGATTTATAATTTTATCTCTTTATTTTTTATATTTAACACTTTTTTAAAATAATTTTTATAGTAGTCGCAAATATTAAAAATTTTATTAAATAATAATTCTAGCCAATATATATCAGTAACAAAAATATTTTAAGAAAAATAATATCTATTTATTACAAATAATTAATTTAATAAATTTTTTTAATTTATTTAAACTAGTTAATTAGCTTTTATATTAAAGATCAAGAGTAATATTTAAATTTGATGTTTATGAGAGGGGACAAAAAGGGAGCAAGCTTGATGCTGCTCGTGATTAAAGGAAAACTTGGTTTTCATCGCCACAAACACCATAATTAGCTTCATCACAACCTTGAAACATAATCATCTTAAAGACGTATGTTAAATATTTTTCTAAAAATACATTAAGAACAAATAATTATAATACTTTATTGATAGTTGAACCATATGCACAATAAGATAACTGAATTTTTTCAAAAAAATTTCCCTTCTGTATCTATTAGAACCAATTCCTATGCATAATAAACAAGAAAGTCGAGAATTTTTCAAACAAATTAAATAACAATCATGTGGCCTAAATAATCAATAAATATAATAAATAATTATAGTTCTTCTAGTATTATTTAGAGTAAAATACTATAACCTTCTTTGTATTTTATCTTAATTACACAAACCTCTCTTCTATTTTAAAAACATATACTTAAATCTAAACTGTTAACTCCATTAAGAATATTTCAATTTTTTTAAAATTCAAATTTATATTGAAATACTTTCTATTTGCTAAATTACCCTTCATAATACTAAATCCCAAAATCTTGGTTAAAACTATAGCAAAGAATTTAAGATTTTCTCCTTTACCTTAATTTTATTTTTTTAAAATTGTTGTTTGTTTAATGTTTTTATCATATTGGGCCAAAAAATCAAGTAACTTAATTAATGCAAACATAAATTTAAATTATTCATATAATTTTCCAAACTTGCATAATTTATATTATGTGATAAGAAAATAAGCATTCAAAAATAAATTTCAATATTTCATGAGGAACTAAAATTATATAATTCTATAATATAATTAAAATTAAAAATTTTATAACATATTAAAAATTTTGAAAATACATGTATTATAATTATTTTTTGTTGTATCAAAATTTTTTTTGTAAATATACATGTTTAAATAACATTTATGTTAAAGAGGGATATTTTGGTCAAAATAAAAATTTAAAAATCAAACTTAATGGTTAACTGACGATTGGATGAATGGAAAGTGAATCTTAAAAATATAAACAAGATTTGTGTAACATACATTTTAATTTGAAGAGAAGTTTATATATGTTTTCAAAATATAAGAGAGGTTTCTGTAATTTAAGTAAAATAAAAAGATAGTTAGCGTATTTTATTCTATTATTTATAAATATGTACATATAATGATTATATTATTTACATACACCGTACGTGAGAGTTTTTCAGTGATAATCAAATAGTTAAATTGTAACTTTGAGATACAGTTAATAATTAATGAATTATTTTAGGATACTTAGATTAATCATTAAAATATAAAATGCTTTGCTGTAAAAGATTGGTCCATATTATGTATTTTTTCTAAAATAATCTAAAAATAAACTTTGACCACATCCCCGTAGTTTTTATTGTTTTATGGCCATATTTGATACTCGTATTAAATATTTGAAATATTAGTTACTAATTTTATTTTATTGAGAAAATGAATTGTTTATGCCACTGCAAATTTAAACTCTTTGTGTGAATACTTATCTCTGTTTTTTTTTTTTTGGAGCTGAGTGTGAATATTTATCTCATCAATGTGCGTTTCATACCTTGTAAGGCATGGGTTTGGAATTTGATAATACCAATGTTTATAAGGATGGTGTTACTATTTGAGTAACCTTTTCAAGCCGCAAGGCTTTGCAGTTTGCACGTACTTTGATGACTCATCGGACTAATTTGGACAAAACTCTATTCTAAACATCTTACATTAAAAACGGAAAAAGAAGCTTTTTCCCCCACCCGAAGAAAAGAGCCTTTAAAGTTTTCTTTACCTTGCAAATTATAAAAGTTGTCTCGCCATTGTCCCCCCAAAGTATACAAGCATATATTGTCTGGATTTTAATATAAAAATTAGTTAATTAATCTGAATAAATTAAAAAAATTAATTTTTAATTAATTTAGTTATTTGTACTCATAAATAGGTGTTTTTTTTCTCTAAAATATCCCTACTAATCAAATATATTAGTTAAAACTATCATTATTACAAGAAATACCTTTTAAAAAAGAATAAATATAAGAGATAAAATGAATTAGGATCTTATATTTACAATCAAAATAAAAACCAAACTAATACATTTAAATAAATAAATAAATATGATAGATAAAATCAATTAGAATCTTATATTTAAAATTAAAATAAAAATCGAACCAACCGGATCTAGTATTATATTGTTCTTAGCTAGCGAGGTACTTTGTAACGAGGAGCTCGAAGCGTTGTTCAAAAAAGTGCTCAATTCCAAATAACCAACCTCAATTTCTTGATTGATTTGAACATCCAGATTGAGTTCTGAAAATAATTTAACCTCCCCTGGCTAATTAATCGAGGAACGCAGTCATAAAATTTTGAAAAAATAAAAAAATATAATTGAAAAATAAATTTTTAAAAAAATTTACATACAATACAATCGTATTTTTTAAGCCATTAATTCTTTAACTGGATATTAATAGTAATTTTCTGTTTATGGCTCTACAGACGTCATAGGTTACCCTTGTCTACTGATCACGGTTGTGAAAAGAAAAGTTCCGTTGACCTTGCAGAGCATCAACTGGACAAAATTCAAATTTCGTAACTCCATTATACGATTTTATATTAATGAAAATTAAGTCAGTTTCTAGTACTACTTTTTTAATCAATGATGAACAGTTCCTTCAACGGTCTGAAAACCGATCAAAAGTTTGCCACTTGTCTTTTATTTCCCATGGAAACATTCAGAAATTTCAAACCATAAAATCCATATCCAGAAGCTAACCTTGCATTGTTGGACAAAAGCCGAAGGCTGTCAAGGTCATTTAAAAAATTAATTGTTATGGTGTAGATTTTTAAAATTTCCTTGCAATCAAAAGTCCAAAACGATCTTTTCATTGTAATTTTCATCTATTAAAAAAATTGATGGCTTGATACAGATATAAGCTTGGGTCATCATACTCAGACCCGTTCATGAGACATTTTGTCTTAAACATCATTTAAGCAACAAATAAAGCGTGTGTCACTTGGGTAAATTCAAATTATAAGCTCACAATCATGTGTGTTTACATTTATATATATTAAACTGACCAATTTGTTATATGACTATGAGTTTGAAGGGATTCATTTTGAGTCAGAAATCCAGCAAGATACACTTAAATTTGAATTTTGAAAAAAACAAATAAAAAATGTGATTATTTACAGAGACCTAATTGTGAATTTACTGAACAATTTGACCTGTGAATTGTGCACCATTGAAGAGGCAAAATTGGTTAAACATAAAAAAGTACGAAAGGATTGCTTGGACTGGTAATCCCCGGAGTTGGACTCGGAGATTTTAGTTGTTAAAAAACAAACAAATTCATTGATGGCATGATAGGCAGAAACCAGCAGGATTTCACCCACAAACAGAAATCAGAACTTGAAACCGCGACCCCACCAAGATTTGTCTACAGAACAATATACTCTCTTGGAAAGACAAATCAGAGTCGTCCGCTTCTTCTTCTTCTTCTTCTTTAAATTTCATTGTAGGAAAAAACTACTTTTTTTCCGTCCCACTCAAGCCATCCATGGCTTGATACTATGCAAAAACGGTTATAAAAACAGATTGACATCAATAGCTCTAAATATAATTCTCCAGCATGAGCTGAGATATAAAATACATAGAATTACAGAAGTTGCTGTTAATACCACGGGCGAAAGAGAGCAAAACTTAGAAGGGAGTGAAGGTGAAGAAGTGTTGAAACAATCACTGAAATGGGAAGGAAAACTTATTTCCCAATGAATCTCAATAGATCAGCTGTTTGTGTTGGAGAGGAGAAGATTTCATACATAGGTCGGGCCCATTCATATCATTTTACAGATAGATTACAGATGGCATGAGCATCATCTACGATATAAAAGCTTGAGCTCCTTCTTACATATGATACATGTAAGACAAAATTGTGTCAAGTAATAGGAAAGAAATGTTCAACTTGAGGCTGGGAGCTTAGAAGGAGACGCAGCCCGGTCTGACTCAATCATGGACTTGATATAAAATTCACCTGCTTTATATGATGACCTCACCATCGGACCAGATGCTACGTATCGAAAGCCCTATCATACAAAACGTACAATAAAATCCATAATTCATACCACATGATTGTGATAATTTATACATCTGTCATAAGAGAAAGAAAAATGCAGCTTTTTATAGATAAGGGTTTTCCCACAAATTAAAGTTTTGCCACACGCTACAATAATTCAAAGATTAATGCACCATTGTCACACTGGCATGGTTAATCATGTTTGGAATGCCTGAGACAAAGCTACAACTAGACCCCCGTATGCAGTGACACTATGGCATGCTACTTGCCAGATTGAAAAGTAGGCAGTATTCGCCATGAAATGGCAACATACTGACAATTCTCTGCACAAAGAACGAATCTGCATCTGTACTGAGCACCAGATTACTCGCTGACATGCTAATTGCAAGACAGAAAAATGTGCCATTTTACTAGCCAACATATATAATGCGAACCAGGCTCCAAGATAGCTATCCTTTTTGAACAGTTTTCCATAGTCCTTGTATTTAAAAAAAAAAAAAAAGGAAAGAAAAAAGAAGAAGAAGAAGAAGAAGAAGAAGAAGAAGGAGAAGAAATCTGCAGCATTAAACCTTAATGAAGGTTTAAAATCTTTAAATTGGTGACAACGAAGCACACGTCAATTTTTTAACTTGATAACAGAAATACTGAAAAGAAAAGGGTGAAAGCTAGAATGCAAATTATCTTATCATGCAAGGGGAAAGGTTAGCTCTCCAGAGGCAGAACAAGGTACAAATCTCCACTAATTAAAATAAGCTTAGCATACCCAGAGGCAAGATCTCTACATATTGATGAATACCCAAGAGAATGAGTCCTATCAAACAAAATCACCATCCATGCGTTGCATTTGAGGGGACATTCTATGATGCCTTATAGAAGGAAAGGAAAAAGAAATACTCTCTAGTTCTAAATATAAGATACTCAAGAAACTTACCATGTCCATGCCAAGCATCTGATACCTCTCAAAAGCCTCAGGTGTAACATATTCAGATACTGGCATATGGCGCTTTGAAGGTCTCATATACTGACCAAATGTCATCACATCGACGCCTGCTGCTCTCACCTTCTCCATCGTCTTCACAATCTGATCAGGTGTTTCCCCACAGCCTAACATGATTGATGTCTTGGTGAGAGTTCCAGCAGGTGCACAATCTTTGGCCATCATTAGAACATCAATAGACTGCTTAAAATTAGCGCGACGATCCCTTACAACACCCTGAAGCTCCTCCACTGTCTCAATGTTATGTGCAAAGACATCTAATCCTGATTTGGCAACCTTCTCTACACAGCCAGCGTCTCCTCGGAAATCAGGAACTGTTACGACAAAAGAGTGCATCTATTGTCATAGGGAAGAAGTAGGCAATGCTATCAGAAAATGGTTTTCAATTAAAAAAAATTCTCCATACGATATTCCACCTTAACAAATACACACTGAGCATTATAAAGGAATCGCATGGGTTCAAGCTTAGCAACCCCCCCCCCCCCAAAAAAAAAGGCAGGGACCAAGGCCAACCGAACAACCATCTATTCTGAATAAAAGATTTTGGCCAATGCTTTGTCTGATATAACTCTTAAATAAAGTACCAACACAATCCGCTGAAAAGGGAAAGCTTGTCACGCCACATCACAGATTATAAGATTTCTTACTTCACTAATGTACAAAATAATTGTAGGGAAAATAGAATTGCAACACTTACGGCAAGTCTCTCTGATATCATTTGAAAAGACAAATTCTTGTTGTACCATTATAATAGATTTTTGTCATCATTAACACAAATAATCAAATGATTCTGGTAATACATTCTGCGTAATAAACGTCTTAAAATCCAGTGCATCACATCACTCATCACGCATAGGTTCTTATACACACTAAGATATGATAACATATAGGCACTGTCCAAGAGAAAGTCATTAACAAACCGGAAAACCGCGTCCTAGGTAGAACCTAATTCAACTAACTGCCTAATACCAATGGCAAATATTTGATAAAAAATTTACCAAAAATATATTTGATAAAAAGACTACAAAAAGATCCTTATCAGTTTTACTTTGACTATCTATATAGTGTACCCGGGAAATGGCTGAAAATAAACGAATATGACTTCAGCAATCTTTATTCCCAGCCTACAAAAATTCGGAGAGCATACCTAAAGCTTCTATGAGCATGCTTGGCTTCAGTGCCTTCAGCTTCTGCACTGTTTCAGCAAAATGACCACTTCCTTGATCAGGTAAATCGTCGCGATCAACACTGGTTATGACCACATAATCCAGACCCCATGATGCAATTGCTTCTGCCACATTGGTCGGCTCCTCAGGGTCTGGTGGGGGAGGAGTTCGAGATGTCTTCACATTACAAAATCTGAACATCAGAATATGAATTGTTCGACTTCAGGTAAACCAAGTGGAAGAAAGATATTTCAGGTGCAGCTAGATACACTATTTTGAAATATACAGAATATGTCAGGCAGTAAAATGATCCATTCAGCCATTGTAATTCGCAATTCAAAATCGTTTCCTGACAGATAAAGAATCAAAATCGCTCCTTCAGACATTGTTAGTAAAGTCAGCAAAGAACAGAAGCATATCATATAACCTGCAACCTCGAGTACAAGTATCTCCCAAAATCATGATTGTTGCGGTGGCAGTCCCGGTCTCACCGCCAGACCAGCACTCACCCAAATTTGGGCATCTGGCCTCCTCGCAAACCGTGTGAAGCCTCAGTTCCCGAAGCTTCTTCTTGATCTGCACATACTTCTCTCCTCCTGGAATTGATTCCTTCATCCATTTGGGCTTCGGTAGTGGCTTCTTCTTCGTGCCAACCTCGACAGAGTATGAATTGTTCGACTTCAAGCCAACGAAGTCGGATAGAGATGGCGATTCCTCCTCAAGCCGAGCTCGGAGACCCGCAAGAGTCTGAGAATATTGAGACGTGGTGCTGGAAGGCGTGGTTGTGGAGGATGAGGAAAAAGGTTTGGCAGCTGAATTGAGGATTCGAGAAACGGTTCTGATGCGGGAATACATGATCTCTCACTGCGCTTCTCTTTGGTACAACCAGAGATCGAGTGCGCAGAGGGATGAGGAATTGAGGATGATGCGTGGTTGGTCAAGCTTTCAGTTTCAGCAAGTAACGTCGCAACAAACAACCTCTACCCGCCAACTATGGGCCGAAGCATTACGTCGAATTGCCCAACCAACATTGGGCATCTTATTGGGCCTAAGTATATGGATTGGGCTTAAGAAAAAGTGTCCAGCCGCCTAAAGTTGGCATAGGGAACAAAACGTCAAAATGAAAACTGATTTGGTATCAAGTGATGATTTTATTAAAGAGATGAAATTAATCTAGTTAAAAGTTAAAGGTTCCATATTTAAATAAAATTGATCCATTGTAAATTACATTATTCCTAATGTGTAAATAGTGTAACTTTATTCAGGTCAAAAAAATAATTCCACTTTTTATAAATTATATCATGTGTTGGTAAATGAGTTGTCTGTTCAAAAAATCATTCCAAGATGAAATGTGTAGAGCACATCATAGCAATATAAAATTGAATTTTTAATATTTTATATGCGGAAAGACTTTTGAAGACCATATAAAACCCGGCCCGTGGAATCAATTCAAAACTAGGAAACACCCTCTTACGTGCTGGAAACGCCTTTTAATTCAGGCCAATGGCAGGGGATAGATACACATAAACCATGTCAAAGTGATATATAATAAAAAATAGTGGAGGTCGTTGACAAAAATTATAATAATAAGAAGACTGACTAATAATAAATAAGATGTGAATTGTGACAGAGAGTGGGTGGGTGATGTCTGAGTTAAGACGGATTGATTAACAAACGGATCGTCAATTTTAAAGAGAATATGTTATAGGTGTGGTCTTTGGTCTTCCAAATTGGATATGCATGCTTGGTTTTCCTGTTGGAAAATGTCGTGAAAAGCGAAAGACAACGACATCGGATTAGAATGTATGTGTGACTGACTGGCTTCACATTTCTCTGATTTTATTTATAATTCAGAAAAAATATATATTTTTATCATATTTACAGGTCCATCTTATTAATTTTTTACGTGTGCATACAATTTTATTTTCTGATTTATTATTGTGTAAACTACTATTTTTTAAAAAAAAAGGTATATATTAAATATCAAGTTATTAAGAAAATATTAAATTTTAAAATAAAGTTAATAAATTTTAAGATTTTTTTGAATCCAATAAACACACCAGAAGTAACCTATAAAGAAGATCGGAGATGATGTACATGTTGGCTTACCTAGGAGTGTTCAAAATAAACCTCTCCTGGTCTCAGCCATACTGGGTCGAGAAAAACCCATCCCAAAAATTTTGGAGACGGGAGAAAAAATAGGACCTGGATGGGACGAGACACGAGACGGCCTCATCCCAGCCCGGTAGTAATTTTTTTAAATATAATTATTAAATGTTAAAAATACAAAATGTTTATATTTGTAGCTTTTAGCATATATATATAGTTGAATAGTTACTTTTCTGATCATAAATATAAAATCCATTTTGTAATGTAAATAATAATACCTATTTTGTAGTGTAATTTACACTACAAAATGGTTCTTATATTTAGAATCAGAATAGTATTATTTATTTAGAGTTTTTATAATTGTTTATGATTTTCAAAATGGTGAAAATGAATTTTAAAGTTATTACGTTATCAAAAAGATACTTTAAAAAAAGGCTAAACCCAAATAACTAAAAATAAAAAGGGGAAAAAAAAGCCATTACAATAGTCCAACTATAAGGCAAGGATATTTAAAAAAACAAACAAACAAAACGGGACAGTCTCGTATCATTTCTATCAGGATCGGGACAGCACCAAAACGAGATGGGACACTCTGACAAATTTTCTATCACGTCGCTGTTCATTGTGACTAAGATGGTTGAACAGCCCTGCGCCTGCTCACTCAAACACAAATACTAATATACCATATGCCGTGTATAATTAAGAGCTTTGGAACGACTAATCAATGCGAAGACGACCTTTGGGACCTCAAGGTGGGCTGGGCACTTCCGCAAAATATTCAAACATGTCGCTACCAATTTCCCATAATTAACGTGGTCTTTTGGGCACTGTGGTTAGTTACCTTGGCTCACGGCTCACTGACCACCCTATTGTCATATATAAGAGCAAGTCACAATCATAAACATTGCAGGAATATTTTTGTATTCGGTTGGGTAGAAGCTAATGCGCTTAGAAGCGCCCTCAATAATTCAGATCAAATCACAGCGGGGTGGAGGTATCAACAGTAACTAGTCCAGAAAACTAACCCAGTTAACTTATGATGGAATATGTATGTGTATTTAATGTCAAATTCTCATAAGCAAGGGATCTTGTTCTTTTGATCTTGCTCTCTGCAATTTTTTTTTTTAAAGTTACCATACATCTTGTCCGCATGGGAAGACATATTTATATCTAGCTAGCTGCTTAATAAACCTGGCAGTGTTATGTTGATTTTGGGATATTTTACATTTAGCATAGAGTATAGGATTTAATAAATTGCATATTGGTGGGAATATGACTACTGGGATTTGGTCTTCAAAACATTGAGTAGGAGCTTGTTTGGATCTGTTTATGATAAGTAGTAGTTATAAATATTTTTAAATAAGCTGAAATAAAATTCTTCTTATATATTTATTTTATATTTTATAAATTAAGATTGAGAAACTGTTTTTGAAAGATTCAATTGCAATTCCAATCCAGCCCTAAATAGTAACTTGGACTTGAAAATTGGGAGGAATTTTCTGCCCCTTTCACGGTGGGGTTCTTTATAACGTTGTGTGTGGCCGCGGAGAAAAATGACAAGGCATGGGCCACTTGATTTAAAGTTGATGAGAAAAGGGGACCCTTTTGTATTTACCCATCCTGCCTTTTCAAAATTGTTGGGCATCTTACAAACCAACGACGTTTTATTGAAAGGGGTGTCTTTTACTCATATTTTATTACGTCTTATCATAGTTATAACTAGAAGAAAATGCCTAGCGGTATATACAACCAAAAAAAAAAAGTTTTGGTTCAAACTTTTTACATTTATTATATCAACTTCTCTATATGATCATATATCCTTTTTTTTTTATGTCTTTATAGTTAAAGGGTGAATATGCAATTTCATGATTTTTTTTATACTGGTGCAGTCTTACTTGTTACGGAATGTATATTTTTTATAAGGACAATTATGCACAACCTTCTCCGGAGGCAGGGGGGAATCACACACACCACATACCATACAGTTCACATCTCTAACTACTTGATTAATATATAAAGAAAAATAAATTATATTTATATTTATTTTTAATATAAGACTTGTTTTATAATGTAATTCACATACAAAACTAGTCTTATATTAATGAGGGAGTAGTCTAGCAAGCAAAGCCTGAATTTTAATACATGCAATTTATTGTTATTCACAAATCACAAATGTTTATTTTTGGTCACGCAATAAGAGTATGAATTTTTAGATATGTTAATTTTTTGTGCGTATTCTTGTGCCTATCCATCCAGGGTCTACTGATTTAAAAAAATTAAAATATAAACAACTACTCCAACTTGACTACCACTACCTGCCAAAACTAACCATAGAAAATGCGACTAAACTAGTGCGGTCAGGCTCAATAATTATTTAAAAAGAGAATTCTGTAAAGCGAAGATAATTTTGGTTGTTGTTGTTGCCATTGGGCCATCTTCTCCGTCCCAGCCGAACATTCTTGTTTTCGGTCTATGATGTTTTCTATCGACACGTGCATTGCCATTTACCAGTTTGTGTTTAGGCAGCGGTCATTCCTCCCTGGGGCCAGGTCATCGTTGTGTATGTGAGTGTTAGGATTATCACCTATGCGGCACCAAAAATATTTTCATGCTCGCAAGAAATATTACAAGTCCGAGGAATTTGATCCAAGAGCAGAGATGGAGAAAAATAATGCCTTAGGTTAATGTAAGAGATGCGATTCTTCCTAATTCAGGTAGAAGTTTATAACGTAATCATCGTAAACCTTATTATAAACAACAAAACACAAGGAAAGCATGTCAGAGAAAAATGTGATTCTGCTATAAATATATACTATTCCTCTGGTTTTTAATATAAGATCCAATTTTTGAGTTGATTTTGGTTCTAAATATAAGACTCATTTCTCATATTTATTAATTTTTTCTAAATTACCCCTATGATACTCCCTCAGCCATAATTAAGCAGAAAGAGAGAGAGAGTATTAAGAAATATGATTATGGTGTTTTAGGAAAAATGTGTCACTTTTTTTATAATTAACTAATTTACCTAACTTATTTAATATAATCAAATTAGTTAAATAGATCTTATATTAAAAATCGGAAGAGTATTAAAAAAATAAAGTGGAGTCTGATTCATAAACTAGACATTGGGCATTCCGGCCAAAACAAAACTAGACGTTGGATGATACCGACGGGGGTCACACTGTGAGAGGAGCAAAGTAACGGGCGCCTTCTGTGACCGACATTTGAGCACGTGGCGGGTTTTTATTGGTCATTCCTTTTCAGGTTTCTCATCATAGCTTCGTGTCTGTTTTTTTTTTTTGACCGGAAGATTATAGCTTGCGGGACCAAGGAAAAAAAAACCGGACCGGACCGGCCGGTTCAACCGGAAAACCGGTGAACCGGTCTGCAGTCCGGTCTGGTTTAAATATTGGACCGGTGGTTCATTGAACCGGTGGAAAACCGGTTTAACCGGAAAAAACCGGTAATAAACCGGGCAAAATCCGGTTCAGTGGGTTACCGGTTATATTTTTTTCACCTGTCAGCTATCTTAAACGGCACCGTTTTATTAAAAAAAAAACCGCCTCTTCTCTTTTCCGGTTTTCCTGTCGAGTTCCCTCATTTCCCTTCCCTCTCCTCTCGCTCGAGCAGCACCGGCTCCTCCCTCCTTCAATCGGAGAACAAAATTGTGAAAATCATATTCTGAGCAGAGAAAAGAAGATCTGAAGAGAGACCTGTTTCCCAGATGATGTAGGAGTCAGATTTTCAGGATTGAACCAATGAGAACTTAAACTAAGCGTGTGAATTCTACGACTAGAGCACTATGGAAGAAAAAGAACAGCTTTTGACTGCAAA